AAGATCATCCTGGAGAACTTCCTATTTGGCACGCCGTGGCTACAGCGTTAGATCTGTCCACTTGTATATACTGTCTATGGTTTTATGAAAGTGATGAGGATAATGATGATGTATAGAAAATGTCTAATAAAAAGGCTGCGTAATCATATTGTGTCTAAATGTGTTTGTTGACATCCACCATACACATTTTATGTTAGCTACTTTTAAACTCTGAGTTATCTGACCAACTGCATGTGATGTTTATAGTTTGTTTTACCCATATTGTTGATGTATTTCAACAGGATAATTTTAAAAAAACATATTTTTGGAGGTACATGGAGTATTACATGCAAATAATACAATGAAATTGCAAGAAAACAACCAAACTGGGTAATTTTTGACCCACTTATGCATCTAAGGATTAATATGGGTAGGTCTTATAGCTTTGTAACTTGCACCATTTGATTCCCTGACCCACAAAATGTGGGTTTAGCAGTTAAAATCAACATTTCAACTTATTCAGAGGCCGAGATATTTCAAAAAGAGATTTTTGGTGGCCTTTTTTTTTTTTAATTCAATATGGCCGCCATACAGACATGTGGGCAAATGCAAACATTGATTTTCTGACTCCAAATACTATAACCTTTCCAAAAATATATAGTTTAGCAAATCCCCAAAAAATTCCCACAAAAATATATAAGGAACCGGACTAATGGTCTCACATGGGCCGCTTCAAAGGCTGTGACCGCAACAGCACAGCAGAGCCTGGAGATGTACAGTAGGCTGGGGTCCAGTGTTAATCTCAGTCATGTTCTCTAAAAATTCTCGGTAGCTTTTCACTGCACAAGTCATGTAAGGAATAGTTACACCCTTTCTCCTAGGTTCTGTTTCTCTGTTATGCTGTTCTTTGCTCTCTTTATTGTACTGAAAGTCCATTTTGGATAAATTACAGTTTCTTGACATAACTATATTTCTATGACTGTGTGCGAGCCCACCTACTGGCTTCACTATTGGTTACCTCTCTCTGGGGCCAAGCCAGCCTCTGAGAATGAAAGAAACAGAACAGTCACGGCGCCAATCATGTCCACAACCTGCCACATGCTTGCGAACCCGGTGCCCTATAAATACTGGGCCACTAGGCACGTAACTCTCAACTCTTCGAATCAGCTCATAGAGGGAGATAATCCAGTTGGGCCTGAAGGTTGGGCCTGAAGAAGCCTATGGGCTTCGCTACTGGTTACCCACTGAGGCGAAAGTAATAGGGATAAATGTACCCCCAGCTTGACAGGCTCTCAAGATTTGCACAGTAACACAATGTCCTGTGGCCCTGATACACCAAGACATACTCCGGTTCATGGCGCCAGGACCGACAGACCAAGGCGCCGCAACTGTACAAGAGACAAACAGAGTCAAGCTGTGACGTGAGCGAGCCTCACCAAAGGGCACCCACAAATGGCTCCCTCCCTAGGCACAGGACGGGGAAGGAGATCCAGCTATGTGGAAAGCCACCCTCTCAGGAGAGAGGAGCCTGGTTCCCATCAAGCACAGAACAAGCAGCTGAAACATCTAAAAGATAGGATCACACATATGTAGACAAAGAGGACCAGGAAGCAGCTATGCACATCTTTTCCACTGTAACACCCCTACAGAGGGCCACAGAAGTGGAAAGACCACGTGTAGCGTGCGCCCTAATGACCGCAGGAGGGGGGGAGACCACAAGTCTTATATGCTGCCATAATGCCTTCACGAATCCAGTGAGCAAAATTACACCGGGGCCCCACGGCCTCTGGTCCCGAACCCCACAAACTTCACTCAGTTCATGTTGAGAGAAGACTGCCATTCACTCAACGTAACAGCATAGAGCTTGGACGGGACACAACAACCTCAGCCATGAATCCCCCTCATCGCCGAGAGGAATGAGTGCTCTAAGCCTGATCACCCTAGACCGAAAACCAGAGGTGATGACTTTAGGTTGAAAGGAAGGATTGAGTCAAAGGTGCACCAAACCTCCATCCTCACTGAATGACATGCAGGCGGGGTAAACTGAGACCACACACAGATCCCTTGCCCTTTTGGCAGAGGACCAGGCCAAAAGAAGTGCAGCCTTAAACGAAAGGAGCCTCATTTCAACCCATTCCAAGGTCTCAAAGGGGGTACCCGACAGGCCGTCCAGAACTACTTGGAGGTCCCAGGGAGGAACAACTTGTCTGGAGGGTGATCTCACTCTGGAGGCGCCCCAAAGAAATTGCTTAACCAAAGGATGATTGAGTAGCATCCAAACCCGTCATGACCTGCAGTGATGGCTGCTGCAAACACCATCAGTGTTGCTGCAGCGTGACCCTTGTTCAGGAGTTCCTGCAAAAACTCTTAATTTTCCGCCAACTGAGCAGGTGCTGGGGACCCCCTGCTGTTGCACCAAGTGGAGAAGAGGTGCCAACGACTGTTATATGCTCTGATGTTGGAGCCAGCCCTAGCACTCTTAATGGTGGATACCACCTTTGGAGGAAAACTAAAGCCAACTAGCTTTTGCTTTCAACTTCCAGACCAGGAGCCTCCTGCCTAGGAGGGGGCGCTACGTTAGGGTGCCCTCCGCCTGTACTAGCGCATCTAGTATGTCGGAGAGAGGCCACAAGTCCATCACCGCCATTTGTACCAGGTCCACATACCACCTAGCACTCGGGCTGTCCTGTGCTCCAATCAGGATGTGCAGACTCTGCGACCTCACTCTGTGGAGCAGGGGTCCTAGGAGATGCAGCGGTGGAAAGACATACAGTAGGCCTACCGGCCGCAGCAAGTGCGCTAGAGCATGAACTCTGAGTGGTGGCTCGTTTGATGACCTGAGCAAGAACCAGAGTGGGCACTGTGGGTTCTCAGCACTTGCGAAATCATCGACCTTGGGGCAACCGAACCTGCCACATACCTAAAGCGCTATGCTTGGTGAGAGGCTCCATTCGTCGGGCAGAGCCCTCCCTCGGGACATCCTGTCTGCCCCGATGTTGAGTACTCCGGGTACATAGCGTGTTCTCAGAGATGCCAGGTATGAGTCTGCCCATAGCAGGACTCTGCTGCTTTCCGACACAGAGGAGGAGACCAGAGTAGAACCCTACTCCTGTCTCTATAGCGTCCACCTCTGTAATGGCGCCGCAGCGCAGGAGTGACAATATTTCTTCCTCAAGGGCTGCGATGTCCACATCGTTGATTAGTTGACTGGGGAAAATGCCGCTGAAAGGAGAACGGTGATGGGAATACTGTAAAGCGTAGCGTAATTCTGGAGGCTGGGGAGGAAGTGGGATCTGGGTCTGGACAGCAGCGGCAGTGAACAACCCCGGCAGCAGGTCTACTGGCTCGCGGCGATATGCTCGGGAATCAGAAGCAGTTGAAATTATGTCATCGCAGTGGCTCATCCTCTCCGCAGAATCCAGGGAGCCCCGATAGTTCCCCTCATCTTCATTCGTTTCCGCCCAGTCCAGAGGGGCCGGAGCGATGAGTGGGTCATCCTCAGCGGGTCCCGACCCGGCACTGGCGTGGAGCAGGGAAATGGGGCCCATAAAAGTCGCGCGGTGCTCCATTTAATCTCCGGGGAGTGTGAGGCATGACACGCACAAAGAACACTGAGTCTGATGATGCCATTCCAGACAGACAAAACAGCGGTCATGCTTGTATTCGTGGTAGAGTGGTGTGCTACAGGAGTGGCATCTGAAGTGCCCAATGAATCTTCGTGGGCATGATTGGCGTAGTGACTGCTTTGATCTTTCTCAAAGGCTGGCTTGGCGTCAGAGAGAGGTAACCAATAGTGAAGTCCGTAGGTGGGCAGAGCGCGCATGAAATAGAACCACAAGCAGAGAGGGCTTTCTCACTGTGGTGGGGCGTCAGGGCCTGCAAGGCCTTCTCTGCTGGCCTAAAAAAATATCTGAATCACAGACTGACATTAATTATATTATCATTAAATTATTCCAAATGGTCTGTCCACTTCCTTTCATAGCTTTTCCGATGCTTGTGCAGCTTCCAGACATGTATTTTCATATTAAAGCATTTCACCAATCACATTTCAGCCATCATTTGTTGCCAGATAGAGTCAAAGTCAAAGAAATGTGCCTGCGGCCTTCACAATCCATTCTGCAGGCTCTCCAACACAAAATAAATGTTCATGAAACTGTTGCTTCAACCAATCAGATTTTGAGTTGGTGTCGCCAGGGCCTTCTAGCAGGTGTATGGCAACATCACCGGATTCAGACCCGTTGATTGGACAGTCAGAGAGCGAACCAGCCAAAGCAGCAAACTGTAGTGAAACCACGACTAAACCAGGTCTAAATCAGATTTAAATCAGGACTAAACCAAGACTAATCTTGGACTTGAGAGAGCGAGTCTGCGGAGCAGGGTGTCTGCAAAGCGCGGCTGGGCGACAGCTGCATTGAGCCCCATGTGGCCTTGTACGGTGCAGAGCCAAGCCCAGTGTGGCCCCGTGTGGCCCCGTGCGGCATGGAGCCCCAGCGCGGTTCTTTCATCTGCGGTCACCCGACAGTCTACACAGCAAACAGTCCCAACAAACAGTCCTGGAGCACCTCAGTGCTCCTCACTTCTTCTCTGTGCACCCCCCCTCCTCACTTCTATGTGCATGGAATCTCTAGGGCTCTTTATACTGTGTTTCTGTAGAATAAGCTTATGCTTTTATAACCATAAAATAGTTATTGACGACTGGACACTACTGAGAGCCTAGGTGTGAAATGCACGGAACACCACTGCTTTCTCCACTTGTCCTTTTTTTTTCCCTTTACCACTGTGCTTGGTCCGTGTGTGTGGGCTTCCTGAAGACTTCTACCTGGAGTCAACAGTCTTCTCCTATAGTCACTGCACAATCTAAAAAGACCAGTGTGTTCTCCTTGGCCTCATGGTGTGGGAATTTGATCTTCAGATCTATATCATTAATATATGCAGTGGAGGATTGAAAGGTTACACAGGTCAATTGACAGCACTAACACCATAGCACAGCACCATAATGCTTGGTCACACTCCTTATACAGATGCTGGAAGAAAACTCCAGAGTTGCCTTGATGATTGGGCCCTCTTTACAAGAGCGGATCATTCAAATGGGGCTGCATGAGATTGAGGTCCTTCTAAACAGGTGAGTAGTGAGTAGTTTAGTATAGTAGTATAGAGTACAAATACAACTTGATTATGGGTTTGTGTTTTACTATTCACCCAGATTTCGGGAAGCTTTAGTGGAAGTTGGAAAGGAACACCGGAAAGGCCAGAACAATAATATGTTCTATCTTCATTACTTGCTGGCCTCTATCAGCAATTTCATTATTCTCAAGTAAGGTCACCCATGTCTATAATGCATATTTAGGAAATGTTTATGTAGCTTCTCAGAGTTGACTTTAAAGTAAGTTCTATGTTTGTCTTTCACTGTTGTATTATTTTTTTTCTCCACAGTATTATTTATTGTTTTCAAATGGACAAAAGGGCAAAAATTGCCAACTCATGTTAGATGTATAAGTATGTCAACAAAAGAAACTTCACTAGATGTTGTGTTTGTTATCTGTTTGAGTCTGTTTTTAGACTGGGTTGCCATGGTGTCAATAGTATTCCACCCCCAGATAAAATGTCAAACATTCTGGGACTCCTGTGTCAGAAACCAATACATGTTTTCTCTTTAACCGTCTCCAGGCAGGTGTTGCAGATTTGCAACAGCTAAATTCCAATGACCTACTTACTCTAAATCCATATTTTATGAGCTTTTTTTTAACTCAGGAGCCTTTTCTCCCATCCATGCTGATAAACGTGGGTGATGCAGACTGTGCAAGAATGGCTACACACAAATGGCCTGCCAGAAGTGCAAAATACTTTTTTTGTTTACAAAGGATAAAAAAGTCAGGATTGTATATTACTACCCCATATTATAATTTTCCCCAAATATCAGATTTTTCCTGATCCAAAAATTTATTTGAGCCTGAGAGGGTTAAGATTGTTGAATTTGGCTACCACTAAAAGTACATGGTCAGTTTGTTGTAGTCCAACTGCTTTCACTTGTATGTTACACAGAAAATCTATTGAGAACTTTCAACACCAGCTGTCAACACCGGCAGCATGCCAGTTCAGCCGCACCCCTCCAAATCCCCTCACAGCTCTGGATCGCACTGTGAGGAGAGCCTGCTGCCTGGTCCTGGAGCAGCTCAAGCATCACCTCCAGCCCTGGATTGGAGACATGTTGACCCGCGGCTGGCTCCTCCATGGAGACCCTGGCCCCAAGTTGTGTGCAGCTCTGGAACAGCATGTGGAGCTCTATGGACATGTACGCCCTCCCTGTGGACAGGTGAGAGCACACTTACCTCCTGCACTTAAGTACTTATATACACTTATATATACAGTCATGGACAAAATTGTTTGTACCCCTCTGGCAATGAAAGAAAAATCAACAATAATCACTGAAATATCTTGAAACTAAGAAAAGGAATAATAAATAAAAATTTACTGAAAATGGTCCTTCGTAAACCAAACATTGCTTTTCACCTGTGGTTCAACAGAATTATTAGAAAAAACAAATAATGAAACTGGCTTGGACAAAAATGATGGTACCCTTAACTTAATATTTTGTTGCACAACCTTTTGAGGCAAACTCTGCAAGGAAATGATTTCTGTAACTGTCAGTGAGACTTCTGCACTGGTCAACCCATTTCTCGTACACAAACATCTCTAGTTGTCTCAGGTTTGAAGGGTGCCTTCTCCAGACAGCATGCATCAGCTCATTTCACAAATGTTCAGTAAAATTGAGATCTGGGCTCACAGAACAACAATCCAGAACAGTCCAATGTTTTGTTCTTAGCCATTCTTGGGTGTATTTAGCTGTGTGTTTTGGGTCATTGTCCTGTTGGAAGACCCATGACCTACGACTGAAACCAAGCTTTCTGACACTAGGCAACACATTTCGTTCCAGAATACCTTGATAGTTTTGAGATTTCGTTGTACCTTGCACAGATTCAAGACACCCTGTGCCAGATGCAGCAAAACAGACCCAGAACAAAAGCAAGCCTCCTCCATGTTTCACATTAGAGACAGTGTTCTTTTCTTGGTCTGCTTCATTTTTGCGTCTGTGAACATAGAGCTGATGTGTCTTGCCAAAGAGCTCTAGTTTTGTCTTATCTGTCCAAAGAACATTCTCCCAGAAGCTTTTTGGCTTGTTAATATGCATTGTGGCAAATTACAGTTTCACTTTATTATGATTTGCTCTCAATGGTGGTGTCCTCACATGAAGTCCACTTTGGCTCAAACACTGATGGATGGTGTGATCTGACACTGATGTACTTTGCCCATCAAGTTCACATTTAATTTGTTTGGAAATTGATTGTTCTGGGCTCTTTGGTTCCATTCGTATGATCCATCTCTTCAATTTGTCATCAATTTTCCTCTTGCGGCCACGTCCAGGGAGGTTGGCTTCAGTCCTGTGGACCTTAAACTTGTGAAGAACATGTGTAACTGTAATCACAGGAACATCAAGCTGCTTCGAGATGGTCTTATTGTCTTTATTTTAACCTGCTTGTCTATCTTTTTCTTTCTAGTCTCCTGACACAGTTCTCTTCTCTTTCTCTGCTCCATGTTCAGTGTTGTGTCCATCATGTCTCCAAACAGCACAATGACACATGTCCCCTTTAAACAGACAGACTGACTGAGGACAAGTTTGAAGACACCTGTGATGCCAAGTAGGGGTTACACTTAACTTTAACATGTTCCTATTGTCCAATTATTTACAATCTTTTCTAGGGATCCCGTCATTTTTGTCCAGGCCAGTTTCATTACTTTATTTTAGTAAATAATTCTGTTGAACAACAATTCAAAAACAGTGTCTGATTTTCACTGGTTATTTGTCAGGAAATGTTTATTTATTATTGCTTTTATCAGTTTCAAGTTATTTCAGTGAAAATTGTTGATTTTTTTCCCTTACCACAGGTACCAACAATTTTGTCCCCCAGTGTATATATATATATATATGGTAATACTGGTGAGTAAACATTTGTTGGTAATTGGCAATCACCTCACCATATTATTTCTCCACGTACCTCAAATAGTTCAAGTGTATTCATAATAAAAAAGAAGTGGATTATAGAACCGTCACCTTATCGTGATGGAGGGGTTTGAGTGCCCGAATGATCCCGGGAGCTATGTTGTCGGGGGCTTCGTGCCCCTGGTAGGGTCACCAAAGCCAAACAGGTCCTGGGGGACGGGTCAGACGAAGAACGGTTCAGAAGCCCCTTATGATGATGTACACTCAGAGGCCAGCGATGTCGCCCGGATCGGCATTACCGGGGCCCCACCCTGGCGCCAGGCCTGGGGTGGGTGCTTGCCAGTGAGCACTTGGTGGCTGGGCCTTCCCCCATGGGGCCCAGCCGGGCTCAGCCTGAAGGAGCGAAGTGGGGCCATCCTCACGTGGGCCCACCACCTGCAGGTGGATCCATATGGGGCCGTTGCAGAAAGATCTGGGCAGCAGTCGACGGCGGAGGCCTCGGCGACCGGATCTCTGAACATGGAGACTAGCTCTGGGGACATGGAATGCGGGGGGGGGGGAAGCAGCCTGAGCTTGTGCGAGAGGTTGAGCGTTACTGACTAGATATAGTCATCCTCACCTTCACGCACAGCTTGGGCTCTTGGAACCCAACTCCTTGAGAGGGGCTGGACTCTCCATTTCTCTGGCATTGGGCGCGGGGAGCGGCGGCAGGCTGGTGTGGGCCTGCTCATTGCCCCACAGCTCAGCCGCCGTGTGTTTGTGTTCACCCCGGTGAAAGAGAGGGTCGCGTCCCTGCGCCTTCGGTTCAGGGGACAGGTCTCTCACTGTGGTGTCGGCCTATGGGCCGAACAGCAGTGCAGAGTACCCAGCCTTCTTGGAGTCCCTGGGAGGGTTACTGGACAGTCCACCAACCGGGGACTCCATTGTTCTACTGGGAGACTTCAACGCCCATGTGGGCAATGACAGTGACACTTGAGGAGGGGTGATTGAGAGGAACGGCCTCCCTGATCTGACCCCGAGCGGTATTCTGTTATTGGACTTCTGTGCTGGTCACAGTGTGTCCATAACGAACACCGTGTTCGAGCACAAGGGTGTCCATCAGTGTACGTGGCACCGGGACACCCTAGGCCGAAGATCGATGATCGACTTTGTAGTCGTGTCATCTGACCTCCGACCGTGTGTCTCTACACTGGGGTGAAGAGAGGGGTTGAGCTGTCAACTGATCACCACCTGGTTGTAAGTTGGGTTGGAGAAGGTGGAGAAGGAAGCTGGAAAGACCTGGCAGGCGCAAGTGTGTAGTGAGGGTCTGTTGGGAACATTTTGGCGGAGCCCTCTGTCAGAGGGACTTTCAACGTGCATCTCCAGGAGGACTTCTCCCAGATTCCGGGGGAAGCTGGAAACATGGAGTCTGAGTGGGCTTCATTCTCGGCTTCTATTGTCAATGCGGCCGTTCATATCTGTGGGCGTAAGGTCTGTGATGCCTGTCGCGGCGGCAATCCCTGAACCCGGTGGTGGACACTGGAAGTAAGGGATGCCGTCAGGTTGAAGAAGGAGTCCTGTCGGGCCTTGTTGGCTCGTGGGACTCCTGAGGCAGCTGATGGGTACCGGCGGGCCAAGCGTGCTGCAGCCTGTGCGGTCGCAGAGGCAAAAGCTCGGAGCTGGGAGGGGGAGGCCATGGAGGATGACTATAGGACAGCCTCAAGGAAATTCTGGCAAACCTTCTGGCGCCTCAGGAGGGGGAAACAGTTCTTCACCATCACTGTTTACAGTGCGTGGGGAAAGCTGTTGACCTCAACTGGGGACGTTGTCTGGCGGTGGAAGGAATACTTTGAGGATCTCCTCAATCCCACCATCACGTCTTCTGAGGAGGAAGCCAAGGCTGGGGACTCTGAGGCAGACTGAGGATCCGGGGATGGATGAAATCCATCCTGAGTATCTTAAGTCTCTGGATGTTGTGGGCTGTCTTGGCTGACACGCCTCTTCAACATCACATGGCGGTTGGGGACAGTACTTCTGGACTGGCAGACCGGGGTGGTGGTCCATCTGTATAAGAAGGGGGACCAGAGGGTGTGTTCCAACTACAGGAGAATCACACTCCTCAGCCTTCCTGGTAAGGTCTATTCCAGGGTACTGGAGAGGAGAATCCGGCCGAACATCGGATCCAGGAGGAGCAGTGTGGTTTTCGTCCTGGTCATGGAACACTGGACCAGCTCTACACTCTCCATCAGGTGCTCGAGGGTTCATGGGAGTTTGCCCAACCAGTCCACATGTGCCTTGTGGATCTGGAGAAGGCATTCGTCCGTGTCCCTCGTGGTGTCTTGTGGGGGGTGCTCTGGGAGTATGGGGTTGGGGACCTTTGCTAAGGGCTGTCCGGTCCCTGTATGACCGGAGCAGGAACTGTGTTTGCATTGCCGGCAGTAAGTCAGACCTGTTCCCGGTGCATGTTGGACTCCGCCAGGGCTGCCCTTTGTCACCAGTTCTGTTCATTGTATTTATGGACAGAATTTCTAGGTGCAGTCAGGGACCAGAGGGGGTCGGGTTTGGGAACCACAGGATCTCATCTCTGCTGTTTGCAGGTGATGTTGTCCTGTTGGCTACATCAGGCCAGGACCTGCAATGTGCACTGGGGCGGTTTGCAGCCAAGTGTGAAGTGGCTGGGATGAGAATCAGCTCTTTCAAGTCCGAGGTCATGGTTCTCAACTGGAAGAAGGAGAGTCCTTGCCTCAAGTGGAAGAGTTCAAGTATCTCGGGGTCTTGTTCATGAGTGAGGGGAGGATGGAGCGTGAGATTGACAGGTGGATCGGTGCAGCATCTGCAGTGATGCGGTCGCTGTATTGGACCGTTGTGGTGAAGAGGGAGCTGAGTCAAAAGGCAAAGCTCTTGATTTACTGGTCAGTCTTCGTTCCTACTCTCACCTATGGTCATGAGCTCTGGGTAGTGACCAAAAGGACGAGATCGCGGATACAAGCGCTTGAAATGAGTTTCCTTTGCAGAGTGGCTGGGCGCTCCCTTAGAGATAGGGTGAGGAGCTCAGTCACACTTGAGGAGCTCGGAGTCGAGCCACTGCTCCTCCACATCGAGAAGAGCCAGTTGAGGTGGCTCGGGCATCTGTTCCGGATGCCTCCTGGGCGCCTCCCTCGGGAGGTGTTCCGGGCATGTCCCACCCGTAGGAGGCCCTGGGGAAGACCTAGGACACGCTGGAGGGACTATGTCTCTTGGCTGGCCTGGGAACACCTCAGGGTTCCCCCGCATGAGCTGGAGGACGTGTCTGGGGTGCAGGAAGTCTGGGAGTCCCTGCTTAGACTGCTGCCCCCGTGACCCGGCCCCGGATAAGCGGAAGAAAATGGATGGATGGATTATAGAGGACAAAATTCATTATTATTTTTACACTTGCATTTGAATAGGTTGTGTAGATAATTAAACCCTGATGAAGCCGGTTTGATCGAAACATGTTGGCTTTGGCCATTTAAATAAAGGTCTTTTAACTATATTTTTCCTCGTGCGGTTTTTACTTCTTTGGAGTGCCTGGAGTTTGTTGTGTTTTAGGTTGGATAGATAAGTTTAATGTTATTCAGAACATTTCAAGTAATACTTTAACATCTCCATGGAGATAAGCAGAAAAGTTATATAGTGCACTTTTAAATGGAGTTATTGTGCAAATCGACTATGTTATAATGTTATAACCTTGTTTCTTCATGTCTGAAGAGGTTTTAGAAGTGAGCATCAGTTGGCTTTTTGTCCAGAGCAGGAGTGAATGAATAAACAACTCTTTATTAGAAATTGATAACCAAATAAAAGAAAATGCTCTAGCTATGTAGATTGATAGACTATTTGATCAGGTTGGCAATGAGGAGGCTGCCCACAGCTGATGCTTTGTGCTACAGTGGCTCCAGGAGGAGGCACGCTGGCTGCTGGTGGGGGAGTATGTCCGGACTTTGCTGCAAAAAAGGCTGGTGTGTCACAGCGCTGAGGACAGGAGACAGCTGGCTGAGCAGATGCTCCGTGATGAGCAGAACTTCAGAGAAATCTTCCACGCACTGGTCAGACATGTATCTTTCTACATACTACATATATGCATACTCACTGTGAGTGTGTGCTTCAGGCTGAAGCCCTCCTTATTTAGCACATTTATTTAACACTGGGCCTCATTTATGAAGCGTTCTTATGAACTAACTTGTACTTAAGGTTTTCTTATTTTCTACATTTTTGGTAATCACAATATGTGTTCTTAACTGAAAATGTTTTTCTGGAGGAACAAATCCTATGAACTGTCAGGAGCATTCGTAAGAACAAAAATTCTGCTGTTTTAGAATATTATTACTCTGATAATGCAACAGAAGTGTACATTTATGACAACAGCATACATTATAAAATCACAGCATAGAAATAACTGGACCACAAACTCTACAACATGAACACAACTGATTGATGGTTTTTAGATTCTAGAATGTGATGATGCCATACTCATAGATGAAGGGCAAGAGACAGTTTTTTCTATCATTACATTGCAGTATCATAAGAATTATGTAAAAGGTAAATGCACAAATGCTGAACCTGATCATTTCTATATGATTAAACTATTGAACTTGCAGTATTATAACAAAAATATGTTTTCAATAAATTTTATTTTAACTGTCCCTTTTCTGAATGATAATTAATGTTGTGAAGTCATCTTAATAATGCATACACAAGTAAGCTTGTGGAAATATGTGTTGTGTTGTCTCTCTGTACAATTCCATGTTTTATAAATGAGATGGTTTTCTCTGTTCTATGGCTGTGTATGTCTATAGGACGGGGATGCCTCAAACAATCCCCTGGCCCTCATTCCAATCCTAGCTGACTTCTTCCGACTCAGAGACCCTGGATTGCTTGCCCTGGATGTATCTGGACTTGCAGCGAAATACCCCGATATTAGGTACTTTTGAGAGGGTTGTGTGTACTATCCTTTTGCAGATACACAAATATGTATATATATATATATGTGTGTATATGTGTGTGTGTGTGTATATATATATATATATATATATATATATATATGTGTGTGTGTGTGTGTGTGTATATATATATATATATATATATATATATATATATATATATATATATATATATATATATATATATATTAGGGGTGTCAAATTATCGCGTTAATTAGCGATTAATTAATTACAGTCATATTTAGCGCGTTTTAATCTTGTTAATCTCATTTTTAATCTCTAATTTTACTGTTTCTGTATGCGAGTTGCTTTATTATAAAATCTGTTTTTATGTGTTGTTGGGACAACAACACACACACACAAAAAAAAACACATTTAGAAATTTTTTTATTTCGGTAATTCCACTCATTGCCGGAAACCCACACAAAACGCGTGCAATAAGAGTGATGTAAACGTCATGTTAACGTTGGCGGCGTCAGCCGCACAATGGTCAGTAGAGCCAGTAGAACAGAGTCAGCAGTGCACAGGTAAAAACGCATTCGTGTCTTGGAAATTATTCTCCCGACGTGAAGAAAATAACAAATATAAAATCGCCTACAACTTAAATGTCACTGGTGAAAACAACCTGCATAGGCTCATGATGTCTGCACTACTGTCCTATAGTGACCTGCGACACGAGGGGACACGCACACAAACACAAACACATACAAACACAAACACACACCTTCATCATCGTCATTAACCTGAGAATGCGCGGACCATGTTTCCTTCCGTAGTTACTGCGCGGACACCGCTGTCCTCCCGTGCGCCGCATACGTTTTCTCGCGTACGCTGCATAAACGGCGCTTCCTCCTGTGCGCCTCTAAACCAGAACTAACACCAAGACTAAAACCAGGACTAACTCAGTCCAGGACTAAACCAGGACTAAACCAGGTCTAAACCAGAACTAAACCAGGACTAAACCAGAACTAAAACCAGGTCTAAACCAGGACTAAACCAGAACTAAAACCAGGTCTAAACCAGGACTAAACCAGGACTAAACCAGAACTAAACCAGAACTAAAACCAGGGGCCTCATTTATAAAGCTTGCTTACGCAAAAATCCGTGCGTGCGCGCTTCCTACGCCAACCGCGGTATTTATAAAATTCGCCTAAGGCGTGGCTCTTTGCTTAACTCTACGCCAACTCGGGACCTCCTGTAAGTTCTACGCAAAGTCTGGAGACACGGGGAAAAAGCGACACTCATGGAGAGAAGCAGAAGTGAACAGAGTTTGAGGAAGTGTTTGATCAGAAAATCCACGTATCCTCTCCTTGAACCGTCACCTTATCGTGGTGGAGGGGTTTGAGTGCCCGAATGATCCCGGGAGCTATGTTGTCGGGGGCTTCGCCCCTGGTAGGGTCACCCAAGGCAAACAGGTCCGGGGGGACGGGTCAGACGAAGAACGGTTCAGAAGCCCCTATGATGAGTGTACGAGCAAGGCCAGTTACGTCGCCCGGATTGGCGTCACCGGGGCCTCACCCTGGAGCCAGGCCTGGGGTGGGTGCTCGCCAGCGAGCGCCTGGTGGCCGAGCCTCCCCCCACGGGGCTCGGCCGGGCTCAGCCCGAAGGAGCGACGTGGGGCCGTCCTCACGTGGGCCCACCACCCGCAGGAGGATCCATATGGGGCCGGTGCAGAGAGATCTGGGCAGCAGTCGACGGCGGGGGCCTCGGCGACCGGATCTCCGGACATGGAGACTAGCTCTGGGGACATGGAATGTCACCTCGCTGGGGGTAAGGAGCCTGAGCTTGTGCGGGAGGTTGAGCGTTACCGACTAGATATAGTCGGCCTCACCTCCACGCACAGTTTGGGCTCTGGAACCCAAATCCTTGAGAGGGGCTGGACTCTCCATTTCTCTGGCGTTGGCCGCGGGGAGCGGCGGCGGGCTGGTGTGGGCCTGCTCATTGCCCCACAGCTCAGTCGCTGTGTGTTGGAGTTCACCCCGGTGAACGAGAGGGTCGCGTCCCTGCGCCTTCGGGTCGGGGACAGGCCTTCTTGGAGTCCTTGGGAGGGGTACTAGACAGTGCACCGACCGGGGACTCCGTTGTTCTCCTGGGGACTTCAACGCCCACGTGGGCAACGACAGTGACACTTGGAGAGGGGTGATTGGGAGGAACGGCCTCCCCGATCTGAACCCGAGTGGTGTTTTGTTATTGGACTTCTGTGCTAGTCACAGTTTGTCCATAACAAACACCATGTTCGAGCACAAGGGTGTCCATAAGTGCACGTGGCACCAGGACACCCTAGGCCGGAGGTCGATGATCGACTTTGTAGTCGTGTCATCTGATCTCCGGCCGCGTGTCTTGGACACTCGGGTGAAGAGAGGGGCTGAGCTGTCAACTGATCACCACCTGGTCGTCGTGAGTTGGGTTTGCTGGCGGAGGAGGAAGCCGGAAAGACCTGGCAGGCCCAAGCGTGTAGTGAGGGTCTGTTGGGAACGTCTGGCGGAGCCCTCTGTCAGAGGGACCTTCAACTCGCACCTCCGGGAGGACTTCTCCCGGATTCCGGGGGAGGCTGGAGATATGGAGTCCGAGTGGGCTTCATTCTCGGCCTCTATTGTCAATGCAGCTGCTCGGAGCTGTGGGCGTAAGGTCTGTGGTGCCTGTCGCGGCGGCAACCCCAGAACCCGGTGGTGGACACCGGAAGTAAGGGATGCTGTCAAGCTGAAGAAGGAGTCCTATCGGGCCTTGCTGGCTCGGGGGGACTCCTGAGGCAGCTGACAGGTACCGGCGGGCCAAGCGTGCTGCAGCCCGTGTGGTCGCGGAGGCAAAAACTCGGAGCTGGGAGGAGTTCGGGGGAGGCCATGGAGAAGGACTATCGGACGGCCTCAAAGAGATTCTGGCAAACCGTCCGGCGCCTCAGGAGGGGGAAGCAGTTCTTCACCAACACTGTTTACAGTGCGGGGGAAAAGCTGTTGACCTCGACTGGGGACGTTGTCCGGCGGTGGAAGGAATACTTTGAGGATCTCCTCAATCCCACCGTCACGTCCTCCGAGGAGGAGGCCGAGGCTGGGGACTCGGAGGCGGACTCATCCATCACCCTGGCCGAAGTCACTGAGGTGGTTGGCAAGCTCCTTGGTGGCAAGACTCCGGGGGTGGATGAGATCCGTCCTGAGTACCTGAAGTCTCTGGATGTTGTGGGGCTGTCTTGGCTGACACGCCTCTTCAACATCGCGTGGCGGTCGGGACAGTACCTCTGGACTGGCAAACCGGGGTGGTGGTCCCTCTGTATAAGAAGGGGGACCGGAGGGTGTGTTCCAACTATAGGGGGATCACACTTCTCAGCCTTCCCGGTAAGGTCTATGCCAGGGTACTGGAGAGGAGAATCCGGCCGATAGTCGAACCTCGGATTCAGGAGGAGCAGTGTGGTTTTCGTCCTGGCCGTGGAACACTGGACCAGCTCTACACTCTCCATAGGGTGCTCGAGGGTTCATGGGAGTTTGCCCAACCAGTCCACATGTGTTTTGTGGATCTGGAGAAGGCATTCGACCGTGTCCCTCGTGGTGTCCTGTGGGGGTGCTCTGGGAGTATGGGGTCCGGGGCCCTTTGCTAAGGGCTGTCCGGTCCCTGTATGACCGGAGCAGGAGCTGTGTTCGCATTGCCGGCAGTAAGTCAGACCTGTTCCCGGTGCATGTTGGACTCCGCCAGGGCTGCCCTTTGTCACCGGTTCTGTTCATTGTATTTATGGACAGAATTTCTAGGCGCAGTCAGGGGCCGGAGGGGGTCCGGTTTGGGGACCACAGGATTTCATCTCTGCTGTTTGCGGACGATGTTGTCCTGTTGGCTTCATCGAACCAGGACCTGCAATGTGCACTGGGGCGGTTTGCAGCCGAGTGTGAAGCGGCTGGGATGAGGATCAGCTCTTCCAAGTCCGAGGCCATGGTTCTCGACCGGAAAAAGGTGGCTTGCCCTCTCCGGGTGGGTGGGGAGTCTTTGCCTCAAGTGGAGGAGTTCAAGTATCTCGGGGTCTTGTTCACGAGTGAGGGAAGGACGGAACGTGAGATTGACAGGCGGATCGGTGCAGCTTCGGCAGTGATGAAGAGGGAGCTGAGTCGAAAGGCGAAGCTCTCGATTTACCGGTCAGTCTTCGTTCCTACTCTCACCTATGGTCATGAGCTCTGGGTAGTGACCGAAAGGACGAGATCGCGGATACAAGCCCTCGAAATGAGTTTCCTCCGCAGGGTGGCTGGGCGCTCCCTTAGAGATAGGGTGAGGAGCTCAGTCACACGGGAGGAGCTCGGAGTAGAGCCGCTGCCCCTCCACGTCGAGAGGAGCCAGTTGAGGTGGCTCGGGCATCTGTTCCGGATGCCTCCTGGGCGCCTCCCTCGGGAGGTGTTCCGGGCATGTCCCGCCGGGAGGAAGCCCCCGGGGAAGACCCAGGACACGCTGGAGGGACTATGTCTCTCGGCTGGCCTGGGAACGCCTCGGGGTCCCCCTGGAGGAGCTGGAGGACGTGTCTGGGGTGAAGGAAGTCTGGGAGTCCCTGCTTAGGCTGCTCTCCCCGCGACCCGGCCCCGGATAAGCGGATGAAAATGGATGGATGGATGGATCCACGTATATAGAAGAATTACCTTCTGATTTGCGCATTTCAGTGTTTGGTTCGCCAAAATACGGAGAAGGGCTGTTTATTCCACTCATTATTCTCCACAATATTATACATTTGAAACTCATGCACGAGCGCAGCCACGTTCCCGGACTCGGTGTAGCGCACAGTCCCACAGTCCACACCGCGACCATAGACTTCTATAGAACACAGACTGACCAACACAGAGGACGAAATAATGACCCAACCTGAGAGAAAACTCTTCCCTTGGACGCAGCAGGAGCCAGGCTTTAATTTAATGAACACAATTTTAACACTTTTACTTTAGTCTTTACGCACCGAGCGCCAGAGTGACCCGAGTCTGCGGACAACACGAAGCCTACTGCCCGAACCTGACCCCAA